ATGTGGGCTGTTGTCTACAGCCTCGCTCTTCTGCGACTATATGGAATCCTTGTTCTTTTGCGACTACTGCATATAGCTCTCCTTTTTTGCAACTACGACAACCGCGTGTGTACATTCACTCCCTCCCTCCCCAATTCAGCATTTCAAAAGCGGGGAAGAAGCAGAAAGATTCGTTCCAGGGGCGCTCACTACACATGCGGTACAGTGAACAGTAATGACGGATGGAGGGTGCAACTTCCGCATGTAGTAAGAACTGTTCTTTGCGTGTCAAGTGAAGTTGTTCACTTACCGGAAACGGCACTTCTCTCTCTCTCCTCTTCTCTTGTGGTCGGGAGGAAAGCGGTGGAACAGATGACGCGGTGACATACATGATACCCCTACGAAAAGTGGTCGAGTGCGACCCTAGCAGGACTCGAACCTGCAGTCTTCGCTTTAGGAGAGCGACGCCTTGTCCATTAGGCCACAGGGCCATCCTATATAGGGCAGGGCCTGGTTTAGTTTCCGTTAACAGACGTGCAGCTGAAATGTGTGCGGTGGGAATGTGTTACAGAAGAAACTGTGATGATTTGATAAAATCAGCGAAAGATTTTAATTTCAACTTTCCGCATGCTACTGATTGCAGTGAGGAAGTGCGGGATGCGGCACGTCCGCCGAATCCAGTGCACGAATCCAGTACCATTTTTCGGGAGAAGTCTGATGGGAGAGGGAGAGGAAAAGATTTTCGGTAGATGGGTGAATGAAGAAACGAGTGGTGGAGAAAGAAAGGACAGAGGAAGGGTGTGGGAGCGAATTCGGGTCATCCAAAGGTCTTCCCGCAGTTATTCAATGCATCTCCTTTATCCATGAACACTGCCTGTAAATTCCTCATTTTTTCCTTTTTCCAACAAATTCATTTTTGCTTCATTACTACATTTATTGTTATTGTTTATTAACTGCTAATTATTAACTACTAATTACCAATTATTGCTTCGGCGACAAATAAATTACGGGTTATCAAAAAATAGTAGTAGTTCAGAGGCCAGTGAGTAATAATGAAAGAAAGGATGAAAATGTGGTCGAGTAACGATAGAACGAACCGAATTCGGTAGACATTGAAAAACGATGTCTCTCAACTGCCAAGAGCATTTTAACCTTTTGCTGGTGGTTTTGTGTTGAAATGCGCCGCTTCCACTACTTCAATTAATGCATTGTCCTCCAATAGGTTCACATGTTTGAGTATCTAAATTTCCGGGATCGGAAGAACCGGTTTAGAATACGCGATCAGATGGAGCGAGATAATTCGATTCACCACAATTACTTCTCTTTGGATTAGTCTGTCAGGTTCAGTTCACAATTCATTCTTTCCATCCGGAACAGAAAAAGGATTTGTGCATTTTAGGATTATTTTCATCCGATATAGCAATTGCTGGCGTGGGGAAAAAGGATTTGTACAGCCATTTTAGGCTTATTTTCATTGATATAACAATTGCTGGCAGTAAAGAACCTGTTCGCATATCTTTTAAAATGATCTAATGCTTCGACAGTCGATCCCCTCGTTGAGATTTTGCGTAATCTGTGCTGCCGTCTTATCCTTTGCGTAATCTTCGCTGTCATCTTATCATATCTTGTCGAAGGAGGAAGGATGTGAGGGGAAATCGAAGTTACTTGACTCTCGAAGATCATCGATAATGGTCCAAAACGACGAGGAGTAGGGAAGTATTTTTCAACAGATTAAATTACTTTCCGTCTAGCAACTATTACAGTAGGATCATTTGCTTCGCAGAAAGATCGGTGATCAACGATTGTAAAAATAGCAGTTATTCAGTTTACCCAAAGTTTTATTTTATATCCTCCTCTTGAACTTGAAAAATTACCATATCTGCAGCACTTTTTTTGTTGCCACCAATTGAAACCGATTTCATGGAATGTCGCTGGCGTAATCTTCTGTTTTGGTATCACAACAGATCATAATCAAAAAAGAGAAAGAAATTTAATTACTTTTGTGTTTTAGTGTCACAGATTTTAATTTAGCAAACCTTTCTTTCCACCTTTTCACCTATCCCTCCATTATTTATCAAAATCTCGAACGGTTTTATTTGCTCCTGTAACTGTAACAGTTGCCCTTCCGGTATTCTCTATTCATTAGTACAGCCTACCTTTCTATCCTTTCCCTCTATTCACTCTCGAAATGCATCTGTCATCTATCGATCGTCATGATTCCGTTTCCTCTGCTGATATTTCTAATTCGCTTGATTCTGATTGTTTGATTCATCGCACCTCAAACTCTCAGATAACTTCGGGAAAACAGTTCGGTGGAAGTAATTGGAATACCGCGTGATATCATCTACTTATTTCAGCTGACCTGTGGTAATCAATGGTAATATCAATATTATTTATAATACTGTTTCATGCAGGAAAAAGCACCGGCGAGTTGAATAATTACAATGAAAAGATTGTGTTTAGTTTCATTAATGCTGTAGTAAAACGCAATGTCAGCCAAGTTTGCGGTGATAGCCTTACAAAGGTAAATACTGTTAATTGATAGTGGAGTAGAGTGTTAGCCTCAATTAAAGACAAGCTGTCTAAATGCTAGCGAACAATATAGAAGAGCAGTCGTCGATTAATCAAGGTGAAATATATATATATATATCATGTTCTTGAATCTAACTAGGCGTATGAGATAATATGATTCAATAATCAGTTGAGGAATAGATCAGATGTTAAGATTCTTGAAAATTTTAGATCGGTCCATATTTCTTGGATTACAATACGATTCCAGCTCAGAAGGAATTTTTTATCACAGCTTATACATCTGGTAGCGCGGAGCAGTTTTTTAGTAGGGATCAAGATCGCTGGGTGGGTATCTTCTTGATGGTTTTATTCTTAGTGGATGAGTAGATTTTTTGGATTGCTCGGAAGGAATTATGAATTAGCATGATTTGAAGCTACTGGAGCTACTGAATTGGAATGCAATTTCTCTTTCCTCTGCACTTAAGAGATGGCTAAAGAAAATTTTCAGGTGTTCCGAGCATACAAATGTATCCAAGCAGCGGGAGAGGCGCCCTATTCAAAATCCGAGCATCCGTTACATTACTGCTTTGGTTATAATGAAAAAAATGAAAAAAATAATGGAGTGGCATATGGAATTTGTATTCCATCTACTTGTTATAATGATCGAAATAAGGTATAGCAATGGATTTACAAGTTAGGGTCATGCCAGTTTGTCTACTTGCTGAAGACTGTCTTGTCTGCCACTTACTGTAATTACTTGCAAGATTAACTATAGTTGCTGGATGAATGGCGGTCGATGATATCCACTGATGCTCTAGCAATCGATTATACTTCATGCACTAAATCACGTCATGACCAACAGTGGTACCAGAAACCAATGGCCATCGCGGAATTTATTCTGCATCAAAATTTCATGTTACTTGTTGTAATTGCCACTGTTTATCATATAAAAAAAGGAAAGCAGATCAGGTATGTGGAGCACTAATCTCGTACCACGTGTTAGATATATCGAATTTAAGTTCAAGACTCTTTGGCTTACATTGCATTTCATGTCAGAAGCAGATGGGTGGAAATTTTGTTGGCCTTTTCTGCAAAGAAGAATTTGATGAAATTAGTCCGAATGCCAAAAGATTCACAGTCAACGATCACTTGTATGTTCGGTATGCGTTTCTTGTCCATGGTCTGGACCGTTATCGGCCATTCATTCCTTTTCGTGCAGGTATCCAATTTTGAAGTTAAATGTTAGATTAAGAAGAAACACCAGCACAGAATAAACCCGAAGATGAATGCTTCTGAATTTTGGTCTACAGGCTTATTTGGATAACGTGGAAGAATACAAGAACGATATGGTCAATCATTTCTACAATCAGTGGATTACAAATTTTACACTCGGCGTTGATACTTTTTTGGTGCTCAGTGCTACATTGACAGCTTTTACTTGGTTTAAAAAAATTCACAGGAATTTATCAGGTACGTTACCGTTTATCTCAAATTTTATTAATATAAAAATACTGTGGCTTATTATCAAAAATGAAGATTCTGAAATATTCTGAGCAATGAAAGCTAATGAATTTCTTCCAAAAATTATTATTGCTATTATAATCATAATCAAATAATAATTGATTAAAATAGTAGCAATAATTTGCGATAGCTTTGAAATTTTTTCCTTTTCCTCAAGAGAAAAATGAAGTTTAAATTTTTTTAGAATCAGTACCAACGTGGACATCATATGGTTATTGGTTACGTTACTACCGTCATCGGATCATTCGTTTATGGCCAGCTTATATATATGTGTTGGTGGATGTTGGAATGCGTGCATCAATTCAGCATTTTCACCCGATGTGGCCTCCCACTGATCCCGCTGTTCAGTGTCCTAAACACTGGTGGGAAAATGTTCTGTTTGTGAACAGTTTGTTTGAAAATCGTTGCATGCCGTGGACATGGTCAGTTATAAAAATTTCATCACTTTATTCAATTCTTTAAAACCAAAAGAACAATTTATATTATTCCGTAATTTTATATATATAATTCTAGATCTTATGCACATTTGCCTAAATAAAATACTGCTGGTAACAACTATGTGACTCTCATTGGTCAGCAATAGATGGATGATAGATGACCCAGTCGTCTGCTGTAGTAGTAATCAGAAGAGAAGTCATTTTGCCTAACTAATATACTGATAGGACATTGAAATTAATTGCAGGTACATTGGCACCGAATTCATTTACTATCTCTTGTCACCGATATTCTTATTATTGCTGCATAAAGTACCGCGAATCGGATTCGCTCTCTCAGTGGTAACCATACTGTCATCTAGTTTTTTGAATATATTTGGCATGTTACATTGGAACTTTCCGCCAACTCAGTTGCTCTGGAAACAACCGGAAATTTTTAGTGCTGACTTTATTAAAGTAATTTTTAATTAAGGAAATATTCTATACAGTCCTAATTATGTATCAAACATTAAAGGCGAAATCGCAACTGAAACTTTTGTATTAATTTTGAGTCTCGAACTTCCCAGTAAAGTTTTCTGAGGATTTCGTCAAGGAAGGAAAAAGATAGTAACTGTTAAAACTAAAATTCAGAACGAATTTAATTCAATTATGAAAATAAAATTCGTTCTTGCAGCATCACGTATTGATGTATATAAAGCCACAATACCGAATAGGACCGTATATTGTTGGTTTACTGTTGGGATATTATTTAGTGATTGTTCAGAAGTGTGCGAAACAAACACGTCAACGAAGTATGAGATTGCAAGCACTTGGCTGGACTTTTGCTTCCATTGCTTGCTTCTGGGCCATTTTTGGTTTGTATCCGGCTTTACAGGTATATTCTATCAATTTTTCTGCCTGAATCCAGAAACGGCATTTATGCCCAGATTAAAGTTTAATGCATCGGATTCACGGGTGTATACAGGAGTTTGCGCAGATAAACATCACTCATTCGGTTGCAACATTGGCTTTTATAGTGTTGGTAAGAATATAGTTGTAACTAAAAGAGTGAAGAAAGGCCGTTGTTATCTCACCTATGGTTTAATATTTCTTTTTCGGAAAAACTTCTTTAGGGTTGGGATTGGCGCATGTATCATCTTTTCTATGGCGGTTTCCACCGGACAGTGTTCGCCTCGGCAATGACTTGGCTTATTTATGCTTGTCACACCGGCAGTGGAGGGATCATCAACAGAATGCTCAGTATGAAATTGTTCATACCATTATCATCGCTTTGCTATTCGGTAATTACTGAAATTTTCATTTCTGGCACTCTTCGGATGTCACGATGGGTAATCTAACTATAATAACTACAGTTTCCACAAAGATTGTTATACAAAACGAAGCTACAGTGAGACATATATGAAGGCACTCATCTTGACTTACCTTGTGTTCATGTATTTCAGGTGTATTTGGTGCACATGGTGTTAGTAGTATTCACGTATCTGTTGGTACCATTTCCCATTGTTTACACAACAAAATGGCAAATTTTTGGACATTGTCTAGTGCAGCTTATACTATCCTACTTTTTTGGCATCATTTGTGCATTGCTTGCCGAATTACCAGCACTAAATCTAGAAAGGATCATCTTCCAGAATGGTCACAAGAATACTGCAGTGCAATTGGCCAAAGATTACGGATCTAGAAAGGATCATCTTCCAGAATGGTCACAAGAATACTGCAGTGCAACTGGCCAAAGATTACGGACTGCAGCAATCTAAAACTGCCGATATCGGCTGAAATTTGTATCGTATCATGCAAGGAGAATTTACTTTTTGTACCTAAGTTATGTTGAAGATTTAAAATACGACACTGACAAATTTCCAAGCCTGCACTGCGTAATTACAAATAAAATAATGCAAAAGTGTAGAGGAACAGAATTCAATGGTGACTTATTCTTGAATACCGTGAAGGAATGAACAGCTGCAAGCCCATATTGATTTCATTAGACTTGGAAATAGATTATTCGCGACAAATATCTTCCCAAAACTCATCGTACCGTGCTATACCACGAACTGCATCTGTTAAGTTTTTGCTAATAACGGATGTATTTAGCCTCGTCAAAGTGATAACTCTCCTTGTACTACAAATAGATGATGTTATAATTTTTTGCTGTTATCACTTGTAGGAGATAATTTATATTAACTCTCAAATAATTACTTCATGCCTGTTGACTTGCAATCAAGGCAGTCCTGGGAAAGGCTAAACAACTCAGGTTAACATATCCACACTGCATTCAACTTTCAGTTCTCATAATTTCTATCACAAAAGTTCAATTTATAGAAGGCTATAAATTTAACGAATATCTAATCTTGCTGGGAAACTCTACGTCTTTAGGGAAGGCTGTTTTTTAAATCTGAAAATATAATAAAGACGTCGATGTCCAGCATATATGGCGGAATTTGAGTTTTTGGATTTGATCTAAATTTATGCAAATCTATGCATATAACTGATAGAAGAATGCATCAGAAGAGGGTTATGTTCCTTCACTTTCATGCAGATTTAAATTGCTGCGTTGAAAAATGAGTTTTAATAATTACTGTCTTAACACGAGAAAAATATAAAGTAAGGTCATAAAATATCACTGTTGGTATTTGTACACGAACAGAGCGTCATGTAATCAATAAAGATGAAGGTGTCACGTAAATCGTTTAAGATTCTCTGGAATAAGCATGATCTACATGGCACAACACTAGTATTGGCAAAAAACACTTTGACAGTGATGACATAAATAATCTAGACTGATGTAACTTTAATTGAATAACGGAGGAAAGGCAGTTTTTCGCGATGTAAAAAAGAACATTTTGATAGAGAAAATTTTTGAATAAATCCAGTTTACCGACAAAAAGTAGTAGCAAATGATTAGTGATATCAAAAAGGCCCTCATAGATATTGAAGGGATGTAATTCAACGTCAGAAAACTATGCCTTTCTAAGAGCTGCAAAAAGGGACAACCACATTATAGCAGCAACCCAATAATATTCCAAACAGAAGCTATTTCAAGATTTTTGATTTTCATCGATATTTTCCTCTTTAACTGCATTTGCATCCGGAATCCACAAACCGCTATCAATACATCGTTGTAAATGATATGTAAATACTTCACGATCCATCTTCTCGGCGACCTCCTGCAGTCGTGACACTTCTTGACTGTCAAAAGCAACTCTCATGTCCTGAAAAAAAAAATCGTTAGCTAAACAAGACATGTACATAATATTAACAAAACTCTTTCGAAATATTAACAAAAAAATCTGATATCATCTAAACAAAAAAAAGACCTCAGGCAAGCTTTCATACACTTCTTGAGGATCCAAACCACCGGGTGACGCAGCAATACGCTTTGCTTTTTCTTCTGCCTCATATTCGGCGATCGCTGCATCACGCTTGTCTTTGCCTCTTTTACGAAGCCTATCGCAGAAAGCATCAACTTCCTGTCGAAACATTTTCGCATAGGAAGGATCGGCAGCACGGAACCTGTATATTAATATGATATCTATGTTAAAATGGTGGCTAGCGTTGAAACATAAGAACTTTCAAATTTCTCAGATTTAACCTCTGCAACAAGACTAATATCTACCGACAATTTAACATAAATCTGTTTGTTAAGGAAAATGAATTAAATAAACACATGAGAAACGTAATATGAATTCACTTTTTGAAAAAGTTTTTGATGACATTTGTATTGGTTGCAAGTGCATGAAGATTTTTCGATAATTCGAGCAAATATTGAATAATAATACATTGTTCCGCCATGATGCACATTTTCTTATCCTGAACCATATAAATTACGAGGCATCAAACGAGGGACTTCTTCAAACGATGCTTTTTACCTCAAATTCCATTGCAAGATTAAGTGCTTGAATGGTAAGCCAGCTAGCAGCGAAGTCAGATGCTAAATGAGGGTGTTCCAACAAATATTTCTCGGATTCTTCCAAGCCATGCATAGCGCCAAATACTTTCAGCAACTCTCCGTTTTTTGTGAAAAAATCGGACTGAAAAATGATTTGGTAAAAAAAATGCGAAAGGAGATAAAGAGATGAAATGCATATACAATGCACTTATACGACCAAAGTTAAATAACGAACCATGCGTTTACTTTCCTCCTCTTCCGATAATTTCGGTGGTTCGGCTTTCTTCTCCGTTATTTTATTGATACGCTGAAAATCAGAAAAGACTTTGAAGAGGAAAATTAAAAATTAAAAAAAGAAAAATAAAACACGGAGAAAGAATGAAAAGAAAAGAAAAAACAGGTGAACAAGGACCGATTTACTGAAGGCTTCATGACCAATTGTATCAACATTCCATGGTTCATTCTTCTCTTTCTCATCCAGTTCTTTCTCCTTTTTCTGATATTCTTCTTCCTGTTTCTTAACTTCTTCAATCTCAAGCTCCAACTTGATCCTTTCCTTGTCGTCCAAGTCACTGTTCTTCAACTTCTCTTGCACTTCCTTGAAAGTGTGGAAAATAATTAACAGAAGATGAGGAACGAGAAAAGAAGGAAAACTCTTCGAAGCTAACCAATATTCGTTTCTCCACAATTGACTTCCCCTCCATTAACTTCTCCTTTTCCTGCTTACGCTCGGCCATACGTTCCAAACGTGCTTGATGCCGCCATCGAAAGAGGGAAGGTGTATCGATGTTCGGGTGTGTGTCATCCTCATCATCTGACACCTCGATCGTTTTCCACTTTGAATAGTCCAATGGCATTCTTTCAAAATAAAGTGATCATTAATGGATATTTGAGAAAGGAGCCAACCACAAGAATCGGAGGTCGAGAAAGCACAACCGGAGGAACCACCAAGGTCACTGCCACCCGCTCGGTCCTTGCCTTCTCGCCGGTTCATGGATATATTGCGAAGTTCTTTTAAAATCGTTCCATGTACGTGAATTGCAGCTCAATTGCATGGAAGAGTAAGGGGGAGTGACGTGCTCGCTCCAGCGTTCTTTACCTGTGCTTCTTGGATTGTGTCCATTCTACCTGCCTAGCTTAGTATACCTTGAAAAAAGGATGCTACAGATGAAGTAAGTCTCGGGAAGGACGACGGAGAATTACGCCACTTCGAATGGACATAACGACAGGAGAAGTCCCCTCCCTCATGCCCTCATCTTCCTCACATTCCAGATAATTGCAAGCTGCTTCCTCACATGGCGAAACGCAAATCACGATAGCAAATATTGCGGTCTATATCAATGAAAAGGCCACATTAACCTCTGCGGCAGATAAAAGTTACAAGAGGGAATTCTGAAAAGCAAGTACACGAAGCGATTAGCCAGGAAATTGCAAGGAACGTTCTAAAGTAACCTTGATGAATAAGGAAACCGCCGCTCGCTGAAGTGCTTGAAGGATTATAAAGTCCAGACACGGACTGCTGGATGAAATATAGCTGAATGAAAATGGGTGAAATTAAATGCAAATTTATGGAGCGATAAAAATATACAAACAACATACAGCAATGTGAAATGTAAAATATCAATCGAGAATACTCAGAAATCTGCGTGATCCCACGTTCCTCATATTGCTTCCTCACTGACACACGTAGACAAATGTGCGTAACCCATGTGCTTTGTGGCATATGTCGCTAAATGTGCATTTCTTCAAATCTTGTGCTTCCTTCTTTTCATTGTCCGAACATTGTTACGCATAGATAACGATAAAAACAAAATTTATATTTGTGGAATAAAAATATTCTTCTTGTACCAATTCAGTTCTTGAATACTGTCATAAATGTCACCAAGCGCCCGATGGGTATTTTCTTTTCGCGGCTTCCTTGCATATATATCTGGGTACCATCGTTTTGCCAACTGAAACACATCAACCGAATGGATGGAGAAAAGATGGCATCATATATTCATCAACAATTAAAAAACAATTAACAAACAAGAGAAATTTTCTCCTCCTTGATGGACAAATCTACCTCTTTTATACTGGATACATCGATGTTCCGGTAATGTAAGTGCTTCTCAAATGTGGGCATATGTTTTTGCAGAAAAATTCGATCAGAACTCACAGAATTACCACCAAGAGGGCACATACCAGGATCAGTGTGACGTCGGACATAAGATAGTACCTGAAATTCAGAAGGTCTATCAGCATCCAGTCCAGGAGAGGAGGATGCCCCATTTACAATTTGATCCCTTAACTTATTAAAATAATATAATTACCTCATTCTCAGCTTGTTGCATGGTTATTTTACTAGATCGTATTTCCTGCAGAAGGCCATTGGATGTGAATGTTGATTTACACCAATTATCCATTCCTTCAAGAACATCTCTCGATTGTGATATGATCAAATTAGGTCCTTCTGCGACAACCTAGCAATTCATATTTGTCAATAACTGAAACTAAACTTTTAAATCGCATCAATTCTGAATGTATGTATAAATGTAATACGAAATGACTAAAATGCTTATGCTAATTTTAAAATGAACGAAACACTAGAGATCTTTTTCGGAAATCAATCACCGATTTCAGATCTTCAACTTCGAATTTAAAAGAAAAGGTCCAGCGATAGTTACCGTCAAATCAGCTTCAGTAACAACACAAGCAATTTCAACGATTGTTTTACTGCTGACGTCCAGACCTGTCATTTCACAGTCCACCCAAACTATACGCTGACTTCGACTAGCTTCACCCATAGCAATAATGCTTTTATTCAACAGACGATGGAAAATACCCACAAGTGCCGTTTTGATGAAGAATTTGATAATGTTCCCTGAAAATTATGAATTCTACACCTGGAATTGATCCAAGAAGACTACCAGTTTCATGGCTTTTTCTAAACAGTATTACCCTATCTAGCATAAGATTTGTGGACAAGTGCAGCTATCTCGGTAAAGGACAGGTGCAGGTAACTCAGACACAGAATATGACTAGCTTGTAATGATCAATGATGACCTGTGAATTATTATATGAATATTTTATTAGATATGAACTGCTTCCACATAGTCGAGCTGTCACTATTGTGCCGATCGTAATTTTTTTTATTTCAATCTTTTTGCATTTTTTTTTTTGATTATTACCATTTTGATTAGCATTATCCCGGAATTCCACTGTATTTTTAAAAAGCAGTTTAAAGAAGTGAAAATAATCAGCTAACCTATGTCTTGTCTGAAACAATATGTAAGTAAGAAATCTTATGCAAATATGACTTTAAGAGAGAACAAAATAGTGAAAAATACAAGCTGATGGAAAAAGTTGAGAAGAATGCAGAAGATAAATACGTACATAAAATAATAAAAGATACGAATAAAAAAAATTTTTCCTCTACAGTAAGACATAGGTAATGGACAATTTAATAATGCTTGAAAACACTTAAGCTTAATTTTATAACAAATTTCTTTAAACAAATGAAGCTTATAAATAATTTTCAAAAAGAAAGGAGAAGAATTGAAATATGTTCTTTTGTTTCTGATGCAATCCAAAAAATGATGTCCATATAACTACAATGACTTGGGCGGTTTTTATCTAAGGACAACTTGAAAGAAAACGATATACTAGCATTCTATTAACGATACTAACAAATTAGACGTTCGCACTCAATATTTGAATTGTAGAGCTGCCACTATTTGGAATCAAACTGTATCTGTTGCGATAGCCTAGAATTATCAAGCCAGTTTTGAATCTGAGCTTTTGCGATTGCCCTAGCATGTTCTGGGAGTGCAAGCATATCAGCTGTTACACTTAATGCAAATGCTTTGTCACCATCAACGGCATTTATATCACGCTGCTGTAGTGATAAACTTTTTGCGATCATTGTTGTTCGCTCTGCATCTCTGTGAGTACCTGAAAGCCATTTAGATACTCTAACGAAACTTATTCTTTTTAGCACATTAGTTCATGGCATTATAATTTTGTAGACTATTTTTCAATAACATCCCACCATTGTAAAATATAAGATTTAGCAACTAATCAATGCTTAATTTAGATTTTGTTAAATTCTCACTCTGCATTGTTTTAACAGTAGTCATTCCTCCTGGCAATAATATAGCAGAATATGGTGACTGGTTTTGTGACACATTGTGTTGACCGTGCGAACTATCTGTTAAATCGTCCAAAAAACCATCTTCAGACAATTCCTCACTGTCATGTTTTCGCTTAATATTCTTTGAATAATGTCTAAAAAATCTTAGGTGCTTATCAATACACAGCGCATTTATTTAATCTAATTTATTAAACAAATGAATTCTTTCAACTCTTTAATAGTTTTTTCACTTGTAAAATGACCTTTGGAGAACTATTAAATAGGATTTCAAACAACTTGACGAAAAAGTATCTGCTCGAACAAGAATTAAAGTTGCATTACAAATGCAAATCTAACTTACGTGGCTCGATCATCTAGAAACGGATCAATCCACATCATTTGCGGAAACAAATCCCATTGCGACTCTTCCACTTCACCACCGTTTGCACTTGACATCCGTATCTTTCGTTTCTCTCTTACATAACGATCGCGTACCTTCTTCCACTGCTTATAAATAGAATTAATGTCTCCTGGAAAAGGTTTAATTCAATATGACACACCGAAAATTTGCATTTTTATTCAAAAAAGAAATCATGTCAGAAGTGAAAAAGAAATGGAACCTGGAAAATCTAAATTTTTGATGATTTCAGCCCACGCCTGATTTCGGCATTCGGAATGTCTGTATTTAGGATCTCTGATATCATATAAACAAGGATGTTGCTGCACTTCTTGTATCAGTGATAGTGAGAAAGTTGGGTCATTGATCACGATATGATGCGGAGTCTGGAAATGATCAATGATCGATTTTCAAATGATCCACTTTCCAACTCAACCATCATCTAATCATCCCATTCTAAATTTCCTCTGTCCTCTCTGTCCTCAATTTTCTCTGCTAGTGAATCGATAAAAAAATACAAACTCCTCCGGGTGAAAGCATAACTCCTTTGCCATCTTTAGCACGGGCAAATTGCTGCTGCTGTCGGTCAATCATATGCGGATCTAGAAAGGTCAAATGCTTAAAGTACTGCCAGCCAGTATGTTCCGCACCGTATTTTAACTTCTTCTTTTCCTTGCCATACTTATCACGCAGCTGCTTCCAACGATTGTACAAGGTGCGTGCGTCACCTGAAAAGTTATCAGCTTTTAACATCTATCGATCAAATTCATTATTTTCATAAATTCAAAGTACAATTGGAAGGAATTTCTTTTAATATTAATATGAAAAAGATTAAGATAGTAAATTTTTTTTTCAAATGGGCCATAATAGTTACAATGATATTGAAAATTATAATGATTTACAATATTCTATCAAGATTTGGATCACGCATATGCATATGGGGATTACAATTTTATATCATGAATCTCGTCATACCTATGTGGAAAAGACACAGCTTTTGTGGCTGCCGTATCCATTTCGATTATATGATATTTGGAACAGGAACAAGTAATATAAATGATAAAATCAGAGCAGTATAAATAAATAATACCATCAAATTGCAATATTTGTACAAGTCGATTCCACACTTTAATCTTATGATCCGCTGAGCGATACAAACGATCTTTGGCATCGTAGAGACAACGGCTGCTGCGGACAGCTTCAATGAGACGCAAATTGAAGGAGCACGGTTCCGGACCCTCCATCGAATGACTTAACATTCTCCTGAATCACAAAAGTTTTCCTGTCTACCCAGTGCAAGTGGAACCGTAAAGGTGTAACTTACAAGGGCAAACCCGCCTCGCTCTCCTGCTCGTAAACTGGCGACGGCGACTGACCACTTTCCATATATCACTTCACCACGCGGCAACCACCACTCACTTCCCATGAAAATTTCATAATTTCACGCGGCCGCTCCATCATAACAAGCAAGGAAGTATGATTGCGAGGTTGGATTGTCGCTGATCAGTTTGGTCCAAGTAGGATGAGATTAAGTGAGGTCATCTTTTTGCGTCGCATCATCAACAGCCCATATCATCCATTCTACGTCAAAATTAAACCAGACATATGGCAGAGACGTGAACAACTAAGGAGATTCGTTGCTGTATGTTTTACATTCAAAAACTTCGGTTCTACTACTGGGACTGTGATATTATAGTGGCGTAGATAATAATGCTTTATATTTCAGTGGCAGTATGGTTTCCAACGAACTACCGTGCGAAGGGGTTTACGGAAATTGAATAAATTATATACATATCTGAATATGCAACGTGAAGACACTCCGAAATTAGAAAAATTTGTAAGTTTTTTTCCAGACAGTTAACAGGGCGCTATTTTGCTCTCTTGTATACCTGAAATACTATTTACTGTAACTAGTGAACATTGTAGTATGCAGAAGAAAGAGTGAAGGCAGCTTTAGCCGAGTATCATTTTGATTATGCACCTTTTCGGAATATGCTTGCAAAAGCACATGTCCTGTTAGACAATGTTGTCATTTCGCAGCTTGCAGTCTACGAACCAGAATCCTTCAAGGTTATACTGCTGTTTCTTATAATAGTTTTGATTGATAAATGTGGGCGGGTGCTTAGCCACGTTATGATGAGTAAATAAGTATCACGTGTCGATTAAAAATGCCTGCAACAGAGTTTGGTTATGTTGACAAAGCAAATGGCACTCGAAGATGGACGTCCAGTAGTCACGGATGAAGAGCAGAGGAATGTGCATACTGATCAGTCACTATTTGGTACTCCCTTCGAACACTCCAAAGTATTCCCTCGAGGAGTTGCAGAGAATCATCAGAAACCTCCAAGACTGCTCAAAATTACAGAGTATTGAATGCATCTTGTACTGTTTGCTTTTTTTCTCAGTTATTTCCGTCTTTCATTGTTATAAAACGTTTTTAATATAGATATGATTTACTCGAGAAATGACATGTTTATGTTGATACTGAAAGACAGTTTCAAATTGAAATTTGTAATCTTTGTAAGCGGAATATTATTTTTGCTTCATTTCATATAATGAGAAAGCAAAACAAACAAACCAAGTAAATAGTGCAGAAACAATAAAGCCATAAAAAACCAACGAATTCCATTATGCATAAATAAAGAAAAAACAGAATGAAATGACTTCAACGGATATTGTTCTTTAATTTTTCATATTTATATTGAAAATCCAGAACGATGCCATAAAATCGTGAAACAAATCGTATTTCGGGAATAACAGACATGATTTCGTTACTGAAGGAATCAATTTAGTTTCCTCGAGTGAATTACTTGAGATTAGCGATCTGGATTCTGATCAAATATCAAATTAATAAGCTCCTCTTCTGATTCGATTTCGGCTTGCCCCTCGTCGAACTAATCCACCTCCAGTATGTTGATGTAGATGGGGCGGGTACTGCTGTTGGTGATGTTGAAGGCGATCATCAAAATCACCAACGGGACAATTGAATTCATAGCGCATTGGAATTGCCTGACCGGGTCCAGCTCTGCTATCTCCAGTTTCATTCATATTTGGCATCCAGACATGCCGTCGAACTTGACTACCTTCGAAACGACTATCGAAGTTTTCGTCCTGAAGATCATCTGAATTTCTTATATATCTTCAAAATTTTCAAATCCTGCACCGTATATGCAATCTTTAAATTTATTCGAAGTAAAAACCAAATTCAAAAACAATGCTAAATACATCTTCAAAGTTCGAACAGTAAACAGACTTGTTTAGATGCAGCCGACGTACGTAACTGAGGCCTCCTGCGAGGATCGCGTACTTGAGTTCCGGATGCAAGTCCTCCTGACCTGTCGTCATCTCCATTTCTGGTTATGCTTCCTCGAGACCCACCCCTTCTTACACGAGGGTCATGTATTCTCATTTCACCTGAAAATGCCTGACTTTATGAATTAGACGGCATTATAAATAGCTTCAATATCACTATTTTGCAAATTCAAATTGTGACGTCAGATAGAAAGAATTCACAATGATTACACACCTGTAGAAGAGATAGTTCGTGATGCTTCATCATTGCTTATTGATTTACTGTCCGGCTGTACATTAGACCGCCAGCTTTGCGATTGTGAAGATGAAGAGGGTTGCTGATTTCTTAGATCCACATCATTAGATGAATTGTTGTTATTACCTAGTAAAAGTGGTGGCATTGGAAGAGAAGGAGGTCCAGTACGATAGTCCACATCCTAAGATGAAAAAAAATAATGGATGAGAAAGAGCAATCGGCGCAAGATGGTGAACTAGACTTTTTTCTCTACTTAACTTACAAATAATAATCTCTATTTTCTAAAAAGGTACCCTATTTTGGACAGATGACGACGATGCAGTTGGTACATGAGCAAGGTTAGACGGAATTGGCGGTGGCCAAATAAGTGGACCAATAGCTGGTGGCATGGATAATGCGGATAAAGGTATACCGGCTGTTCCCATCTGCGCCACTGCCGTTAGTGCTGCAAAAAAAAAACAGTATCCAATAACAATATACTGGACAGATGCATTAGCAACAAACAATAAGGACAACATAGTGAAAAAAATCCAGTAACAATGGAGGAACAATACAAATGCAAAAACATACCAGATTATTTTTAGAGGCAATAGGTCCAACATTAAACATTAGGAGAGCACAATGAAATTATATAAACCTGTTTTTACTTTTCAGTGATAATTCATTTAAAAACCTCATTGTGCATGAGATAGGATGTTTGATGAAGCTCCTATATTTTCAACACGCGATAAGATGCAATTACTTATTTATATTATGGAAACCCAGTCGATATCCCTATGAACTAATCCGATTGGAAATTATCAAAATAAAATTTTTTGAGTGAAAAAAAAGCAAAAAAAATTTTTCGAAGACGAGTGAAAATATACTTTGCACAGCCGGTACCAGAATACTTGGCTGAGGTGTAATTTGTTGTATCACTGGTTGTTGAGACGCTGTTGGATTTGACCACTGTTGCACAACTGTTGGTGCAGATGATAGAGGCGGTGGCATTTGCAAGGCTACCGAACCAACTTCCTGATCTGACCCAGTGGGATGAGCGGTATTTTTCTGGGAACGTCTATTCCTGTCTTGACCAGGGCTGGGTGATCGGCTTTCTGAAAATTTCATTACAAAAAAGTATGAAGTTATTTGAAGAAAATTTATTCGGTAGTTGCAAAGGCAAAATTATAATAAATGGATAGAAAAGAAAATCTACTGACTACCTTCTTCACGTTTCGAAGACAATAATGAGCGTGGGGGTGGTCCAAGCAAGGAAGTTTTGGATCTGCGGAACGTTCCTTCCTCCGGCACTTCATCGGTATAATCATCATTTCCGGAAGCTCCAGGCTTCGCAACATTCCACATCCGTTCAAACTGCCGCTGAGCCTTCTTTGGTGGAGGTTGTTTGATTAAAGTCCTCTTTGCACCGATATTCATCGTCTAAAGAAAAAGCCGATTCATTTGTTGCAAACTGATTCATTTGTTGTTTTATATTTCTAATTTAGCATTAGCCGTATTCGAATAATGATGTCTAATTATAATGCTGATACTGTGAGCATAGAATAACTTGAAGAGATCATTTTCTTATCAGCTTTGCCAATCTAATTTCTGAAATATTATCGCATCTCAAGTATTTAATGAAAGTGATCAAATTGCCTGTTGCCGCGCATTTGGATCTTCTGGAAACAGTAAAGGCCCTCCAACTGGCGGACCACCCACGGTTGTTCGCGCATCTTTTTTCTGCATTCCTTGGAACACGTCATCATCCAGGCCCATACCTTAAAAAAGCACACAATGAATAAAAATTAAATTTGGGTCCGAATTCTATTGCATCTTCGCTTTAAGATCCTATTTGATAATGTAACTTTCGAAATTAATTTATTGTATTCTTATAAATAAATTCAAAAACAAATACAGTAAACCTGGAATAACGGTGATGAACGTTTTTTCCTCAGCAGTTTCAGTTTTCGTTTCTTTTGCTGGCGTTTGCATCGATCCAGAAAATGATGCCAACCCATAGATATCATCCTGAGTATCACCCGGACGATTACGCGCCCAAAATTTCGTATTGTTATCATTAGAACCTGAAAAATGTAACTGCAAGATTGGATTTGGAATTGTGTTTCCAAATTGGATTGTGCGTCGGCTCTGAATTTCTAAACTAACAAAAATTTTTACAGTCAATGATTTAAACGCAGAATCTAAAGGTTAATCAATAATGAAACCCAATGTTATTTCGAAAAATCTCCTAAACATATTTATGCAGCAATAGAACTTCAGCTTAAAGTACCTGATGCTAGGATATGACCCAAAGGATGCCATTCAAGCGTCCATATAGCTTGATCATGAGCATGCTCCAAAAATCCAAGTTCCTTGTCATTGTTTACAAGCCAGTATGCCAATGATCCATCACCACCACCACTTACAAACATACCTTCATGAATCGGATGCCAAGCTAGTGCTGCAAAATGACACAATGTAGAAAATTACGAATTTAAATAAAATAATAAACTTACAAAAAAAGTCGAATTTTGAAAAAACTCGAATTTGTAAAAAGTAAATACTGGAAGTTGGGAATTAACCTGTCACTTCCTTTTTATGTCCCCTATAAGTATGCATTTCACGCATCATTCTGATGTCATACATTTTGATCAAATGATCGCGAGATCCCGTCAACAACCAATTCCCATTTTTATTCCACTGCACGGCCATTACTGAATTTTTATGATCATGCCTTAAAGCCAACGATTAAAAAAACTGATTTTCGATCCATCGACTATAACTTTTTAAAATTTTAAAAAATTAGCTAACAGTCACATACTGATCATTTACAGAAAAGAAAACTTCATATAAATAGCTGCAAAAAATTTTCCCAACCATTGGAATACAGAAAAACTGGAAAACCCACAAGGTTGATAGACATTGTCCTGTTTTTGGATCCCATAACTTTACTGGTTGTTGTGAGTCACGTGATCCAGTGCATATTAAACCTTTTTGCGGATGCCAATCAACACTACGCACATCTGATCCATGGCCACGCAATACTTTTTCTTCAGCACATCGAGCAAAATCCCAAATCCGAGCAGTAGCGTCATCCGAACCAGTCACTAATTTTACATCTGTGGGCGCGAAACTAAAAACCAGTGATGAAAAATGTAATAAACCGAATCGGAACCCCACTGTTCAAACTCATAATTTTCAAAATAAAACTTGATGCCATTTAAGTGGAGGAATACATAACCAACCTGAGAGATCGAATGGCCTCATCTTTATGCGCTTGATACATATGCACATTGTTCATATTTGGTTGCCAATATTTCACGAAACCGTCGTGATCCGCTGATACAAGCCATTGATCGTTGTGTGACCATTTCAGAGCACGGATCGCTGTATCGTGAGCCTGCAAGACCATTCAACAACCATTCCCTTTTTTAATTTACTCATATGCAGTTAATTGTGAGTGACATCGATCGACTGGAAATAACAGAAATATTTAAATCCTCACTGATATAATACCGGCAATTTTTAATTCAATAGAAATCTTTTTCTTTAGAGCAGACTCTACAGCTTTATGCTGCGATACTATAACAATCACTTGTTGCTTCTTTATAGTTATAAAAACTTGAAATTTCAAACCCTATTTTTCGTCCAGGTCAATAGGATCTAGCTTTTTATAAAGGTTTTCTTTCACGCGCTAATTAAATTTTTTTTCGAATCTCTAGAAAGAATAATAACAATCAGTCAGTTTCCTATTCCAATTACGCCATCTTTCAGGAAATGATAGAAGATACCACAGAAAATCTGGGGTAATATTAAATTTCCTAATTGGATTCACGTAATGACAACCAATCCTTATGATTAAATTAAAAAAACCAGTATCGTTCTTTTCTTCTTCCATTCAAATATGATGGACCTGCTTATTACAAGGGTGATTGCCGCAATTACATGCATTCAGGGCGGCAATGTTAACTCGTATTTATCTCAAAAGATTAAAAAGCCAAAATAAAACTATCACTTACTGGCTTCCTACATCCTCGTGTCCCATAATACGAATCTCTAATTACTGTTCCACTCATTAGTTACCTATTCACAATGACACCTTATTCCTTAGTCATACTTTTTCAGGACAGAATGGTTCATCTGTCACTTGTCCTTATGACACCTTACTTTGTTAATTACTACATAGTTAAGAATTTTCTTTACGTATTACAAATGAAGTTGATCTACTTGCATAAAATGTTCTAATTCTTTCAATGGGATATTCAAGACATATAAACGTTGTGCTGCAAGAAGTAAATCGCTGAAATGCTTTCTTTGAAACGTTATCTTTAAAAATGCGAGGTCGGCTGTCAGTAAGTGCAAACATCAAATATCATTAAAGAATATAAGTTGATGGTTATCATGAGTGTTCAATCGAAAAAGCACAATGTTTTCAAGGATTACTACGAATCTCTTTGAGTGACTTATTTACCCTTAACTCTCTCAGAAAACGTTGTTACAATGTCAACCAGTTCCCAAATAATACTGGACTCTTTTTAACAAAATATCTAGACCTCAACTGCGGCTTATATCATTTTATTTCAAATAAATAAAAAGAACTGCTTTACAGTTTCATCATCTACCCGCCCAAACTGGGACAAATTGTAGAATATCATTAGGCATACTAAGTCGATTCAACGAAATTTACGAATAACACAAGTACTTGGTTAGCCATTTTACTCATTACAGTAATGAAAAATAATCTAACAACCCACTCTTCAGATATTTCGAAAAAAGTCCAAAAAATTATAATGTTTTTTGAACAGCAGATAACTGGCGAAAAGAGAAAAATCCAAAATGATCTATTTCAGCTGATAAATTTATGGTCTTATATTTCAACATCTCATGAAATTTTAACAAGATGCAAATTTGATATATTTTTTCTTACATAACAAGATGCAGATTTGACTAATTTGATATATTAGCTAATTTTGAACTGATTTTACAAAATGCAGAAATAATGTAGGCAGCGAAGGAGAAGTTCAATACTCATGCTGTAACCGCGATGCAAACTGTCAACAAGGAGCGCCTTATAAACTATTTATCTGCTTCATAATTATACAAAGCAGGAAAATATCGGCAATATTTGTAAAAAAGGCAATGCCGACTGGATCATCTTTTATTTTTATTATGCTATAAATAAAAATAACTCTACTCACAAAATCTTTTCAGCCTTTTCTTTATTTCATTTTATTTGAGGCCGAATTAGTGACTTACGACGTATAACAAGGAGTAATGGATAACATACGGTGACGCATGGAAATGAATGAATGAGACAAAATTGAACAAACGCGATACAGTGAGAAATGAACGGTGAAAGCTGTCACAAATACCTGAAGAATTGTCTCGAAATTGAAAGCTGTACCATTCCATAAAGTGAATTCGCCCGTTGATGCACCCGTTATCAACCGTTTACCTTCTGGTGTCCACTGAAACTTATAAAATACTGATTTACCTTAAAGAAGTTTCATACTCATCAAAAAGAATTACTATATATCAATCACAACTAAAATTAAAAACTCATTTTAAAAAATTAAATCTAAACACTTGTGTAGTAAACTGAGAAAAAAATGTTTTGAACTTAAATACAATTCGCAATGAAAACTAAAACTATATGCAAAATTAATAACTTACACAAATACTGTAAATAGGACATTTAACTTTATTCATTGCAGCCCGTACAAATTTATTTAAAACACAGTCAATCGTCTTGTCCACCGTAGCGATTGGAGGAACTGCAGAATTTTGATATAGTATATCCGGTTGAACGGCCTCACGACTACGTACATCATGCTGCCACAGTCGAACCTAAAAATTCATTCCACATGTAAAATTTTTCACTGTTGAAGTCAATTCTGAAGATGGATTCTTTCACATTCATGCCGTGATACTGGAACATTTCTCTTTCACACCCATATTTTCGTTCCATTTCCACTACGATTTATATGAGACGAATACATCCAATACTAGTTTTTTGACTCAACGGCATATGTACCATCCAGAGACATGTTATAAAACATATAAGTTAATTAGTACCTAAGCACCAACATTTTGATATAAGTAATTCAGAAAAGTGAGGGATTAACTGTAAGTGCTGAAGAAAGAAAACAGAGTAAAAATAGTGAAACTTTAATAACAATCAATGATAATGACTACAATAAACTTAACAAGAAGCAAAAAATGTTTTTGCTGTCGAAATAATGCTGTTGATAAAAATGCTAACTTAAACTTGGATTACGAAACGAATGATTCTGATCAGAAGGTATAATATTAGAGAGTGATAGTTCGCCGCAAACATACCTCAAAATGATTTAACACATTGGCAATGTAATCGATATGACGCCGGACATTTGCCACATTCTTGCGTAACCGCCTGCCCGGACCGTCAGCAACATCCAACACCGGTTGCTGCAATAAGCATACGAGTTGTTAGAATTAGAAATTCTGACCTCAATCCAAAGTGTATTTGAACATTGTTATAATTTTTGTTTTTTGCAAAATTGAGACAGTCGTTAGCTTCAATTATTTAAAATATCATCAAGCAAATGATAAGTGCATGTATAACTGTAACGAACCAAATTTGTCTTAAATCGATAACCCGGTCGTAAGTAATATGGTTGATACTGACTATTGGTTATAGTCTGTTGTTGACTGGAGGTGTTAGAACTTGTCTGCAAGAAATCTCTTGAAATATTATATCCTTGAAAAAGCAAGTTATGGACTGTGCAATGTCTGGAAGAAAGAAACAACCTGTGGAAACTGTGAAGAGCTTGCGGACTGCAGTGATGGTGATGAGCTCGAGATATCTATGTCCGGTGTTGGATACTGCAGCAAAGGTGAAGCTGCAGCCATAATGGCTCTAAAATTATTTCACCTCTGAAAGAAGACAAAGATGAATATGAAGTAGCTGAACAAATAATGCCGATAGATACAAAATGCGGAGTATATGAGTCTCTGAAAAACAAAGAGTACGTGAAGATGTTTTTTTGTTGAATGTAAATGTGCATGCTAGATACGTGTGATGATGGAACATTATAGACGTGTAATCAAGACGATACATTCAGCAAATGGGTGATGGAGAAGCAAATTCCACAGCTGAAGTGACCTGATCTTCGAACCCTTTGACCTCCAGCTACTAAGGGAAAGAGACACTTGCAAGAGTAGTGAACTGTAGCAGCGATGCGTATCGCTGCACCCACAATCACACGGCGCGTTCAGGTCCACAATGCAACATTTAAAGACCAGTGGGAGATGAGTATGTTCTTGGGATGCATGCGAAATTGATGACGGTTTATTCAGTTCTGATAATGAAAGGATGAAAATGTATGGAGGAGAAGAACGGATTTGAATCAAATCCAATCGGATCCGATCAGATAACTCGAGCGACAAGCAATGGCAACATGGCCATCTTTTGACTATCCTTTGAACGTTTGAATAACGGCTTCGGAAAGATGTCATCTTTATTGGCCTGGAATATGAAATTGCGAATTGCAGCAAACTGAATGAACTAAAAGTGTGGTCGAAGGAAGAGGGATGATTATGGAAGAGAAAGAGAATTTAACTCACATGAACACTGACGAAAACCATCTTATCCACCTTTGGTACAGCTTTCCGCCGCATAATATCCACCTTTAATTGTTCGCCCGGATCAATGAAGCCGAACACGGGATTCACCCGGTATAGCTGGTTATCCGAACATTTGGCCTGAAGATGTGCTCTTCTTCGAGATGCATGTTTGAAACTCATCCCTCATTACCTACCATTCTCCCTGAACCGAATGAGAATTAACAGGAAAGTTTTGCTCATTCATGGTCATTTCATCGCACATATCTCCATCTTCAAAGTACCTTAACGGCCAAGCGCTCTTTTGTTATGTTTCGCAGTTGCACTCTCTGATAACCTCCTTCATCACTCCATCGGAGATTCTTCGGTTCAACTGTCAGCTCTTGTTCCTCTGTATTACAAGTTTTACCAACGTACTCTCGAGCCTTTTTTCTAACACTTATAAACGAGCAACTTTAAGAGTGGAAGTTTGGAAGGGAGAAATTTATTTTGTGCAAGAAATTCGAGAAAGTCTTCAAAAATACAGTTACCTTTTTCATTGATTGGGCAGATATTTTGCTGAGTGTTTTGCTGGAAATAAATAATCTATTCAGGCAACAAAAAGAATGACTCGTTTCACAATTTTCTAATGGAATTGAAAATCAAGCAACCTCTTGTTCTTTGAAGATGGCTCCCTTAATTTCCTTCTTAGATATCGTTTTTTCCTGAAATTTTAAATCACTGCATTTTCCGTACTGTCCAATACTGATTACTCTGAAGATGCGGGAACTTTTGTCCGCAAGATTTTGATCTCGAACTATCACTTTCTATGAATTATATTTTGCATGGTTAGTGGCTTATTTTTTTTGCCAGGTTGATGATGCCGAATTTTTCCGAATATTTTTTGAACATAAGATTTGAGGAAATTAGGTGATTTGAGTCTTTTAGGCAGTTCAAGAGATTTGACAACATGATCTGTCGTCATTTAAAAAGAATTTGAAAGTGATTAGCAATTCCATAGCAAGCGGCCAATTTCTGTGTATAGTCATTCAGTCTGTTTAGCTACAACCACTAAACTGAACCTGAATGATTGAATAACCACTGTTTTCTTCTCCGATAATTCCGAAAATGAATGTCGGTATTAGTTGTGGTACCGACATTCATTTTCGGAATTATCGGAGAAGAAATTATATCAGATGAAATAATCTCATTACATTCGTAAGTCCAGCAATTTGTACATCTTTGGGTGTCCCGGCAGTTGCCACAGGTGTCACAATGACTGGCTTCCCAGACGCCTTGATAGAAGCATCACCATTCCTTCCCTTGGCCTGCGATCGATCGCTTCTGCTTCTCACTTTACAGTATGCTTCCGATTTGTTCGACCGAAGGCTTTCATCGTCAGATCGGTCTCCTATGGCAAGTGGTCTTTTCTAAAGCGACAACATCACTACTTTCGTGTCAATGAAAATATTTCAAAGCTATGCTGTTTGGTTTCTAGCATCGATCCACCGTGAGAGAAGCGCCAATAATAGTTGCTGATTACTTGTATTGGTCCTTTTCTGTTGGAGAAGGATCGCGGTGATTTCTCAGCATCTCTTTCCACTTTGTTTTTCTGCAGCTTGCTGGTTTTCTTCATAGACTGGCTTGAGGATACGGAACTTTGCGTTACTTTTGATTTAGTGTTTGACTGAAACATATATCAACACATCAGCAGATCACTGATGATGCCTTCCTTAAATTCATGTCAGAAAATGCTAAACGGCAGTCCGATCATCGGTCGCCTCGCGGCATCCGCCCGCACTATCAATCCTCTCTTATCAGTCTGAAAATTGGGAAGGAAAAAGAAACTACTAAACCAAATTCTTCTTCCTACGCTTTCCGCTTGCACACTGCATGAGAACGGTGACCGTCAGCGGTATTATTCCAACGGTCAACAAGATGACGTCGTTTGGCTCCGCGTACATTTCACTACTGTACCAAACAAAAAGTTCAATCCTTGAAGCCGGTTTCGCGACAGCCGCAAAAAATTATCCCGAAATTAACAAATAACAATCTTATTGTTGAACCATTATTTATATGTTACAATGAAATGAAATGCACAGTGTGCAATGACACGCATCTCTTTTTCACTTACGTGCCGTCACGCTTGCACGTCTTAAAATAGGGGGAAGAAAGTATTGGCAAGATAAAGATAGAAATGAATTGTGTAGGACTGATTGTGCCTTTTCCGATGGATAGTTTTATTAAATTAAATTACAACTCGAACATATATGTATGTGATCCAGTTATTTAGTTGAACGGAAGAGAGCTTTTATGCATTCATCTGAGCAGGTGCATACGTCAGTCAAAGATTAATTTTAATTATCTAATTGACGAATTGGCTTTCTCAAAACTAGTTAGAGATCCCAATGTCGCGAATTGCCATTCATTTTGTGGTACATAGAGTCTCATCACAGGGATTTGTTTGTGGCCCATGTCTTCTTCCACATCACCATGAGAACATGCGTAATGGCCACAGGACAGCATGCAGTCCGTAATCGGATTTATTGCAACTTTTTCATCCTAAAGATATGAGGCAAAGTCTCTTTTTTTCGCAAAAGTAACTATTTCTTATCTTTCTTATTTAAATTGTTGTTGAACCGCAGAAGGATTGCTCGGCTTCCTTATTTCATAAATATTCTCCGTACCCATTCAGTCAAAAGTTTTGATTTCCTCTATCAGCTTTGAAACTTGTAATTACTCATCGCAGTATTTTAAGCAGGGTTTTTTTTAACAATATGAATGGTGAATAAAAAGGCTTTACTGAAAAATTCCTAAAAATCTGGCAAAGAATGGTCCAGTTTAACCTCGTGCAAGAAACTGAAAAAATAAACAGGATCGTACCGCCTTGCATTTCCTGTTCGAGATGGCTCGAACATATTGGCATCGATAATTATAATTCGGATGATCGTACAGATATTCTGCATTTACAGCCGTTACCTGTTAAATGAAAACTTGCATCTTAAAATAGATTGATAGCTAATTTAATAATAATTTGTTAAATTAAATTGGCGCAGGTCCCTAAATGATTCTTGGAAGACTTACAAACTCGCAGTCAACTCGACTCTGTTCTGGACAATAACCACAACTTCTGCGGCATTTTTCCCGGAATCTGGGAAGCAAACAATTATGCAAATTGGTTTGACTGCATGTCCCATTTAGAACAGCTTGCAAGTTATCGCTACATATTGGCAGATGCTGCTCTACTTTTTCCTGAAATTACATGATTAAATTTCATCTTTCTTCCATCTTTCAAAGTTTCATTAATTACCGACGTTTTATGTTTGAGATCCTTCAATATTATTCAATAAAATGAATAAAGCTGAATTGTTACAATGAGCATTTTCATTAATTTCAATTTTCATTTCTCTTTGTTTCCAATAAATTTTAGAAAGGAAGCATTTGATTTCATAATTCGTAGTTATTATAATAAAAAATAAGAAATTTTACAAATGTTTGAGTAGGATTGAGAAAAAAGCACGCGGAAAGGATAGAGGGCGAGGATTAACAAGTAAACTGTAATCACAAAGCAAGATCAAGAACCTACCTGGATATAGACAAAGGGATGGTGCGTACTGATATAATACAGTCGTAAACTTATACCACACATTCCACAAGTCCGAGCACACAATATATATCTGCAGTGGACCTTCTCAGAAAAATAAATTTTCATTTAAATTTTTTCGAAGAGAGAAAAATCTCATACAAAACGTTGAACTTTTGCTAGTATTCTAAAAATGAGAAAAATTTATAGCATGAACCTAAATTCCTGAAATGAATTGCAATGACCCCGAGATCTGTGTAGGAAGTCACAGTCAACGAGACTATCCTCACAATACAAATCAGCTAGACCAATGATGACGTGTGGCATTTTTTGAAAGTGTTCAGCTCTATACATTGAAGAATTGGCGAAATCATGTAGTCGATAAATCGGATTTTTGTTGGCCTGAATTTGAAACTAATGAGAAAGGTAAGAACGGAAGAATGAAAAGGAGTGTAGGTGGTGATAAGGATAGGTATGGAAATGAAGGTAGTAAGGATAGGTGTAGAGAGTGATAAGGATAAGAGTGGTAAGTGGATACGACCCACCATCCACCCTACACAAAAAACTCAATTCTGGGTTGCGATAAGCAATTTTCATGGCGACTCTTTCCGCTCTGGAGGACAGTGAGGTGGTGAGCGGGGGTGGGCAATTTATAAGTTTGGGTGGGTGGCAAAGTGTTCACATTCCGGTGGGGTGTTTCAGGAATGCTACCTTTTTATATATTCTGTTGATGTGGAAGATGTCGTGGTTGCTCACATTTCTGGTTCTTCTGTACACACGTCCAAAGAGTGGATCATCCACGTAGGGATAAGAATGGATAAGATTCTCGTATACTTTATTCCAGTAAAACTGTAATTTGGAATTTTAAGCCTTTGATCTTCAGTGAGTGTGAAACTTTAGTTATTCAGAGATAGAAAGATGTGATCTTACAAATTCCATATTCGGTTGGTGACACATCATGCTTGTAGCAGTTTCCGCTCCGATGCATTCATCCTCGTTAGTTTCGTTGGCGAGCTTATTTGAATCCACAATAAATTTTTTCTTCCATATTATAAATTTAAGGTACTGCAACTTTACTGGATTAGAACTATCGAGAAAACAAAAAGGCTTGAAAAGAGTTCGCGTTGTCAGTGGTGACACAAGATGACTTTATGCTAATATGGTTGGTTTTCTCACTTAAAATCTCTCAGATTTTCTCCTTTGTCAAGTTTCTATGACTCTAAGCATCTGATGGTAATGCGTGATACAGCGTACTTTCCAACATAAATTCCATTATTTTCCATATATGTTGTCTCATCGTTTTTTTGTTTCTCAACCAATGTCATACACGGAGAAAGAATTTGCTGAAATATGAAGTGTTTGGGCTGCTTACATCAATTTTGCTGTCAGAACCAGAATACAATATTTTTCCTTCCGGTCTCTTCATTGCAATCATTTGAAATCCAAGAATTTGGTATATTGATCGCAGGACAATGTGGCTGTACTCCATACATTCATCGTACAGATTAATCCACTGAAAGAGACAGCGTTATGAGATGCACGAGCACAGTGAAATAAATGGTTTTTTTTAACGAGAACTGAATAAAGAAACGAAAGCTTGAAGTTAAAGAGATCACGAATGCAAACCTGTCGAGCTTCGACTGCATATGGAATTTGCAACTTTACATCATCTTTTAATGTTCCGTTGCACACATTCCACTAAGGTTTTTCAATTGCTTCCGTACTAACTTTTCATAGTTTAAAACTTACTCTTTCTCCACCCTTTCCATATCCCAGAAGTCCGTAACAGCCATAAGTAGTCATCTTCACAGATACATAATCAGCATCTTGTTCTTTGATGAATGACCGAAATTTAATATTTGTTCTGTTTTGTACCTCAAACAAGAGATCAGCCAATTGTTCCCACCGATGTCTCGAATAAGCTGGTGCTAGAAAAAAAACGAACCGGTCTAGATTTCACATTACGTTTTGAAGAATTAAAGAAATATTACTGGACTTTTTTCAAATTTTTTTTTTATTTAGGTTAAATATAACAGATTTTTCATAAAGGTGGTCTTCATGCAAGAAAGTTAATATATTTGTTTATTTACAAATCCACAGAGGTAATGTTTGTTGCTCCCATTGGTTTTCTTTTTTGGCGTCCATCACAAACAACCACTTTCCTGGTGTATTATACTGCAATTTATTGTTATTTACCGAAACCAGTATGGGATTATGAAGTCGTCAAAATGTTAAGAGATCACTATTTTGTTTGTTTCTAACGTCTCTCAGTGATAAGATATGACTACTTTCCTTACACATCCATCAAAGAACTCTTCAAGTCATTGATTAATTAGAAGGCCAATCTAAACATCTTTGTGAGATAAGAATTCTTGATAAAGTAAGGAGCTGCAAGGAGTATATTCAGTCGAGGAGATTAATGAAACTTTGCAACGTGTCAGGTAATCTTTTATATATTTCAAAGAATGCTAATTGAGTTCTGTACCTAAATACCATATCCATATGTAGTTCATTTACTTGAATTTAAATAAATTATAAATTACCATTAAGCCGAGAAAAATAAAATTGAGAAGCAGCCACCCGTAGGATTCCATAATACGTACTGATAAAAGAGAGAAGAGCAGTGGAAATATTTAGTTTGTACTTCATATCGTTGAAATGATCTCGGAGTTTGGTTATTCATCACATTCACGGCTGATATGAGAGATAGTAGTGATGATAACTAGGGAAAAAGCATAATTATTAAATGGTTCCCGTATATTTCATGTTTCACAGAGCTCATCAGATGTAATAAAAGAAAACTTTTCCATCTTTTTTATTTTATTCGGAATAAGCTTTCAGATGGAAGAAGTATCATTTGACAAATTTCGAAACGAACGATGGCGTGACTTGAGACGTCTTACCGATGGGAAATCGGTCTTCGCTCATCCAGCTTTCGAACCAGGAATGCAGGTTATCATCTCTAATTTCATTATCCCTTATTTTGTTAAATAAAATTCTCTCAGTGCAATAAAACTATTTTCGATGTTTTTTCATATCAGTATTTGAAGATTCCTGTATTTGAGTGAAAAGATCATCTTTTAGAATTTGGAAACTGTACAAAATTGTCACGTGTTAGTAGTCGGAGCTGGTGGATTAGGATGTGAACTATTGAAAGATTTGGTATGTATTATGTCGATAGTGTAATGGCAATATCATACTGCTGTACTGATCACATAAAAAATCTTATCTATTTTAATTTGATATGTTCAGGCGTTATCTGGTTTTCGAAAAATCGAAATCATCGATATGGATACGATAGAATTGTCCAATCTAAATAGGCAGTTCCTTTTTCGGTTAATTCTATCTTTCTGCTGTCTTTAAATTTAAAACAATATTGACTTTTTCAGATTTTCACTTATTATTCCCTTTATTTTCAGTGAAACTGATGTTGGTAAATCAAAAGCTGAGATAGCGGCGGCGTTCATCCGAAAACGAATCCCCGATTGCCCTGTAGTCGCGTATATTTTATTATTGAAAATGAAGAGATATTACATTGAATAATGAAACGAACCATAGCATAGTCATTTGCGATTTTGTGTGTAAAATATGTAAGCGCAGTATATATTGTGCTGTGCATTATTTGTTAATATACAAGAAAAAAAAACGGTTGTTTGCAGTCACAACTGTAAGATACAGAATAAAGATGACCAGTTCTACCGGTCGTTCGACATTATTATTTGTGGCTTGGATTCTATCGTTGCAAGAAGGTGGCTTAATGCTAAATTGGTTGGATTTTCTCATTTGTTTTACGGAGTTGGTATTGAATTTATAATTAAATGCAGATAGATTATTCTACTGAAATCGTGAAGGTTTTGCACCAAATAACTCAATTAATCGTTGTATCACTTTATATTTCATAACTTAAAAATAGGTAAGCTTAGTGGAATTCGACTCGGATGGTAATCCAACTGGCATAATACCTTTAATTGATGGTGGCACAGAAGGATTTAAGGGCAACTCCCGAATAATACTGCCTACAATGACTGCTTGCATTGAATGTACCATTGATCTTTATCCGCCACAGGTTACATTTCATTTAATTTCAATTGTTTATACTTAAACTTATAATGCTATTATTTCACATATAACATCTGTGTTATTTGATATGAATTCTTTAATCATTCATGGCCACTAATTAGTTTGCAAGTACTGATCATATTTCTAATTACAGATTACTTTTCCTATGTGTACGATAGCCAACACTCCTCGGCTTCCTGAACATTGTATCGAATATGTGAAAGTAATACAGTGGCATACGGATAAACCCTTCAACGGTTTGCTTTGATAGTTTCATGCTGTAATTTTCAGAACTGAAATAGCATCTTTTCTTCATCTGTTTGTATCTTAAATATGGTCGTTGCTCCCGATGTTACCATTACTTCAAAAACTGCATGCGATAAATAACATATGTGGGGAAGATAAGTCAACAGTAAATATTATTCAGGTGAAGCGATGGATGCTGATAACATGGAACACGTGGAATGGGTGTTTAAAGCTGCTTTAAAGAGGGCTAATAGATATAATATCAAAGGGGTTGATTTAAGACTTACAAAAGGTGTCCTGAAGAGAATAATTCCTGCTGTAGCTTCCACCAATGCTGTTATTGCAGGTAATATTGTTTTTCAATACTCATAATTTTCGTGACCTTATTGCGGCAAAATAGTTTTTTTTTCTACGAATACTTTGTATATGTGAATACTCGCATATAATAATGCTTATGTATACCAATACTTGCATTCATTCTTTGTGTACAGGGTGTCTATAAAAATAATGAAAACGTCAGATATTTCAGCATCATGCGCACTGGAGGCTTTGAAATTAGCTTCAAAGTAAGTTTTCTGATTTGAAAATTTTCCACTAATGCCTTCGAATTGTTCCCAGCGGTTTTTCTATATTAATTGCTATTTTTTTATAGCATTTCCTGTCCAATGCAAAATTATCTCAATTTCACCAACATTGAGGGAGCTTTTGTGGGAGTTGTCGAATTGGAGAAAAGAGTAAGGCAATAATTTTTGCACTTTTTTTGCTCATATTCATTGATTAAATCCTTTGGTAAAGCATTGTGAATATTTAATTAAATATTTTATCAGCAAATTTTAAAAATAAATGCTATTTTATTGATGTTTACTCTTCCCTAGATGCAAATATAATTTTTTACAGCAAAATTGTCTAGTATGTGGTGAACAGGCACAATACATTGATATACCCGCGAATAAAACATTGCGAGACTTGCTAGATGAAATTATAAAAAGATAGTAAGTGATTCATATTTCCTCTCTCCATTAATAATGATCATATGAGAGAATACACTTCAAACGGATTAGCATCAGTTATGTTTAGTTCAAGAGAAAAGAGAATTTTTTTCTTCCTCTCCTCTTATTCTGACGACCAAAAGAAGTTAAAAATTAAAGTAGGAAACGAGACGAAAAAAACTCATCCTTGCAAAAATCCTACTCTGTTTTGTAGTCAGCTTTGTAATCCATCAGTACAAACAGCAAAGGAGAAGTTATATATGAAAAGCGATTTGATACCTGAATTGTATCAAATTAGCACTGCTAATTTATCCAGAACTCTGAAAGGTAAGCTTTCCGTTCAATTGAAATGAATCTGAAAAAGTTTACATAAGTTTGACACTAAAAATGTCAAGGACATCCATTCAGTAGGTGTGCAGTTTATAAAGAATTTTTTTAATACAGCTTTAACAACCTCACCTAATCTCAAATCGATTATTTCTAGATCTTGGACTGGCAAATGGTGATGAGCTTCTTATTGCTGATGAAACTCGGGCGCGACCAATTTCTTTACGTATTCGTTACCAAGAAGACTAAAAAATTCACTGAGATCTGTTGTTACATTTATTATGTTGCAAAGGTGCTTTTACTGCGTTAATTTGATTAGAAGCATTGAACTGCATTTCGGGAACAGAACTTTCGCGAATTCTGCACGCGTAACTTTTTTCTTTGGATTCGAGAAAAGAAGCATATTCAATGCTAAGTCGATTGAGAGAAATATGTCGAATGAATAGACGCTTTACTGTTGTTTTTTCAACATTTTCCGCGAACTCTGCCCTTGTTGAAGTTTTATTAATTTAGTAAAATAATCTTTTAACTGTTTGCGGATTTTATTCTCATGTTTTATACAAACGTAGTTTGAAGCTCTGTTCAGAAAAATAATAATGTGAAATATCCCTAAAAACCTTAAAGAATTTTAATTTAAGTGAAACACTTGAAAAAAATGTCACTTCACGTCTGTGAAGCGACATTTTTTTAAAAAAAGCCTAAAAAGGTGCGAAACATTCTTGGAATTTAAATTTTCCTTTAAGAATTAAAAGTTATGAAATATTAATTTTCCGTTCGTCTTCAGCAATATTTCTTGATTCCTTTCTTCTCATCTTAGAGAATATGTAAGCCTTCTGGTTAAGTGAAGCATGTAATATGTACGCCTAAATGGCGAATTGATAGCACAATATTTTAAGCTCATCTTCAGTTAACCAGTATTTCTGCATATTCCAACTTGGTATCATCATGATAAAACACATGCAATATATAAACATATGACAAGCAATCA